CTACGATATTTGAGATGTATTTACACATCATATTGAAATAATATGAGAATGTAAAAATTATCAAAGTCATATTAAATGTTAAAAGGGCACAAAAAGATACATGTACTCCCTAAAATCTTTGGAGTGGAATCTAATTCTAAAGAATGACAAAAAAAGGTCGGTATTCATAGTTGGATCTTATATTTAAGACCGTCTTAAATACAGTCTTAACATGTCATGAACCAATCAGAGGCCGGTATTCATAGTCGATTCTTATTTTGAGACCGTCTTAAGTAATGTCTTAAGTCGCTAATGCGGCCCTCTGATTGGTTCGTGACACCTCAAGACAGAACTTAAGACGGTCTTGAAAAACTCTCTAAATCTGAATCAGTGAATAGTCACTAATTACTCAGTAGCATACTTGGCATTGATAATCAATAAAATTTAACTGAAAAAGGAAAAATGTTTGAGCATTATATAACTAAAATACTGATTTGCACATGTTAATTTCAATTTTCCAATACTATATTCATTGAATTTATGCACTTTAACAAGATTAGTTAGATCACATAATAAAGATCAGCTAGGTTAGGGATCTTACATTTAATTCACTGATTACCAGTGGCATACTTAGCACTGATATCAGTGATTATCCACTGATTCAGATTTAGAGAGTAAGAATTGACTATGAATACCGGCCAGAGAGCCGTATTAGCACCTTAAGACATTACTTAAGACGGTCTTGAAATAAGAACGGACTATGAATACCGTCCAAAGAGTGACAATTGAGCCAGTGTTGAAAAAGAGTGGCTCAATTGTCAATTGTTAAAAGTGAGATTTCAGTCTTTGGAGTTACATTCCACTCCAAAGATTTTAGAGAGTAGAAATTAAAATTTGCATCTTACGTGCGTCTTGCAGAACGATCGTAGAAGCCTCCATCCTGATCGTCCGTTCTGATACCCCCGCGTCGTTTATCGTCGAATTCTGTCACGGTGAATCGCGTGAATGACTATGTACGCTGCATCGAGGGGTGCCATCGACCAAAATAGATTTTCCAAAATGTACGGATCCCCGAGGTTGGAATTTAAATATCATGCGATATATATATGTGGCCGATTAGGCGTGTCGATACACCGGGAAATCTCGGGCGAATTTAAATTCCTGCACGATCGCGATTAACGTCAACGGTCGACGAGAAACGTAGGTTCATCCTTAATGTACGGAAAGAACGATTTTGCTGAAATATATAAAAATTTAACTTATATATACAGATCTGAAAATAAATTTGTTGAACCCTCAAAATAATTACGTAGGAATTTCAAATTACATATAATGATCAATGCTGCAAAAAAGTTTAAATTTTGGCATTCTAGCGATCAGTTTGAGCGCCCTACATAATTATTTTGATGGTCCAACAAAATTATTTTCGGATCTATAGCTAAATTTTTAGATATGTTAACGGAACCATCCTTTTCATGCATAATTTCACCTTTTCTCCACTAAAAATATAATTTTTTTCCCTCTAAAAATATAAAAGTGAAGATAAAGTCTTTGCAACACTGCGTTCTTGTTGTTCGAAGACTACAGAGATTTTCGAGGCGTTATAATGAAAAAAAGTCGCACAAAAATATAAAATTTTTACTATTTAAAATTCGATACAGGTTTAACCTTTGCAACGAAAAAAGGTTAAAAGTGCGATTTGAGAAATGTAATCTCGAAAGAGCTATTGATCGTTCCAGATATACCTCCGTTATTGAAACTCGGACGGAGGTGTATCTATACAATTCGGTCCATCTATATATACACGAGGATTTAAACGATTCAAGGAAGCCGGGGAAACAAAAAAATATACAAATACAGAAAATGACGACTCGATTAATTTATCTCAATTCGAACCGATTCTTTGAAGAGATTCTCTCGCAGATTTTTGTGGATAATCGCGACATTCACAATCCCGATGTATCTCGCTAGTGATTAATGTATGTTTTTCGTGAGCCACGTGAGTCTTCAGTACAATAAAATTAATATCCTTGGTGGGATGCGGAAGATACGATCGCGTGTTCGCGTGTCGGATTCGCAAGTCGCACTAAAAGCAACGTCGACTCGGGCGATTCGCGATCGCTCGGAGCTTCTCTCACGTGCGACGAAGAAGCGTTCTCTTCTATCCTCGCCCGCTTGCTCTGCCTTCCACCATCGCTCTCCTACTTTCCTCCTCTCGCATTCTTCCCCCTTAATCGATTAAGAGAATTGATTCTTTAACCCTGCAGAATTCCTCGCGGGTCTATTTTCGAGCGACTCCATCGATAAAACGCGCAGATCATAAATATTATTGTTATCACGTTTAAACTTTGCAATTTTGTCAACTTTTCATTTCTTGAGACACCTGCTTATTAAATACGAAAAAGAAGGGATACAGTTTCATCAAATCATCTTATGGTAACTGTAACAATTAACGCCATATTTCTCAAGCTACAAAAAAAAAACGGTTTTGCTGAAGTATCAAAAAATTTAACTAGATCTAAAAATAATTTTGCTGGGCCATTAAAATAACTGTTAAAACTCTTAAACGTTGATGACAATGTTAGAAAAAGCTTTAACATTTCGGGAACGATTGAAACGTCCTGCTTAGTTATTCTGATAGTCAAAATAAGATTATTACTAAATATAATATCAAAATGTGGATTTTTTAAGATTCTTAGTGTTAAATCCATATTTATGAAATTTTTCGGAACGAATTCTGATCGGAGATCAATTGTTCAATTATTCTTTGGATTTCCATTGTGTTCTCTAAGGAAAATTTCGATCGGAATTCATTCCAGATTTCAATTGTAATTCCTAAGGAATAATTCCAATCGAAATCTATTCCGAACAGTTCTATACGTGCCCTGAATATACTAACTATGTAACTTTTGTATCAGACCTCTTCCTATCGCGACCGATTACAGGAACAGACGTCCATGAAAATAGCAGCGCTTTATCTATGCAGGACCAACACAACAGGCAATCTTATCTTAATGGAAAACTAATCGGGTGACGTGTTGTGTATTGCGTGAGTAACTATTTAGAACACGAACAAGCGAGGTCAGACTATAAAAAAAAACAACAAAAACCGATTTCAGAATAATGACCTGTTTCTACTAATGTTAGATGAACTTTAATCTCAATTCAACTGGTTTATCTTTTTCTAATTCTGAGAACTAGAAAAAGATAAAAAGTGGGTTAAATCGAGATTAAAGTCAGTCTACATTGATGGAAATTTACCATTAGATCTAAAATAATCTGATTCTTTTCAGAGAAAATACCGTCGATATATGGAAAGAACGTCAATGCTGGGATTTAAGATATGGATTTAAGAGATATTTATTATTCTCCATTGCAATGTTTATTTTTTCCATCATAATTCATTCTAAATCTTTGGATTTTTAAAATATACATTATATCAGAAATGTTTAAATTTTTACGCTTGTTTTTGCTAATGTAAGTTGACTTCAATTTTCTCGATTTAATGTATTCTTCATTTTTTTTCAATTCTTATTATAAAAAAAAATTAAGAACATTGAATTGAAATTAAAGTTAATCTATATTAGAGAAAACAAGTATTCAAAATAAAGCGACGTTTTTCGGTAAATAAGAATTTAAATAATAATAAAGGAATTTAATAAATAAAATGAAAATGATTAAATAATAATAGATAAAGTAAAAGTAATTAATATCGGGACTCCGATTGGGATTCATATTTCATAATTTTCCTAATTTTTTCAAAACATTTCATTCTTAAGATCATCAAATAAGAATTGTTTCTGTTTCACATTACAATAATTAGATAATTGACAATTTTGCAAAAATTATCCAACAGATTTATTTTTCTCTTTCATCACTTTCTCTCATAATAAGTTATACTAATCCAGCCATCAATGCGGTATATAACATTTTCATGCTAAATCACATGTTTATAATAGAAAACAACGGATAATATCACTCTTGCGGTAAGCAAGTGATAATAACACAGAGAATAATAATTGACAACGCGTCAACAGTGTCAACACGCAGGTGAACAAAGATGGCCCTCGAAAATAAGACACCTGTTAAAATCAACCACACGTTTAGATCGCAAGAAAAATATAAGCTCCAAAAATACATCAAATTTTGTTACATGCAACCTCATTAAATTAAGTCAATATATTAATAAACATTAACGATTAATAAAAAACTCAATTTTCTCTCTCTCTCTCTCTCTCTCTCTCTCTTTCACCCTCACCTTCGATCTTCCTCTTTTAGCAACGAAACACAAGAGAGACGGGCGACCGACGGCACAAGATTACTGCTCCAAATTACCCAATCTTTCTCCTTAATTCGTCCTGTAATTACCGCCGCTACGCGGAAAGGGGGCGAAAGAAGAAAAACAGCGTTGACGAGATCTAATTAATCCAAGCTGTCGAGGGAAGGAGGGAAGAGGGAGTGACTATTAAATGATTAAATTGGTAGGTTAGGTCGGTTCGCGGCGTATCGACCGGCCGCGCCGTATTGACGACGAAATTTGGCGGCTGCCAAAATGGTCGGCGCCGTCTTTCTCTCACCTGTCGGGAAGGCAAAAAATAAGGAGGAGAGAGAGAGAGAGAGACCGCGGCGCGTCTCATCGCTTCTCACTCACGTCTGACTTACCACTTCGCTGCATCGTCGTTCCGCCGGGGCGTCACAGCGGCTCATCGAGCATAATCCTCCGTGCGTGGGTGACGCGGGTAAACGGCCACCAGCGCGCTTCCTCGCATGCCACACTCGCGAGAGGCGACGAGACGCGACGAGACGAGACGCGGCCACCGAGCGATCGGAACGGACACGAGAACGTCGACGCTCCGTAACGCAACACGACCGCACTTTTCAAATATTTCGCGTAGCCAGCCTCTCTCGCACGATTCGAGTGTCGCCGACGCGTGCGCACGAACGATAACCGACGCGACGACACCGGTTGGCCGCGAGGAAAGATGGCCGACTCTCGCGCCGTTCTCAATCCTCGTCTAATGCCACCTGTCGCTGTCCCTCGGAAGTAACCGAGTGCCGACGATGCCGATCATGTGACGCTTCCTGGGGTGAATGACGTTGACGGTGGTCGACAGTTCTTTGAGGTTGTCATCACTTGGAAACGCGATTATCTTAAGTGAATATTTAATCTTCAAGGCCTGATTTTTCATTTTTTTGCTTAATTTGTAGTTTAAACTTAACCTCACTTAATCTGATAGTAATTTAAAAAATATTTTTCCAGCAATAATTAATCACTAAACTGATGCTTTTATGTAGTTGTGCGGTAACTTTAAAGTTCACTCATTACAAAACCATCTGTTTAATGATTGAGTACTAGCTACTAGAAAAATAACATAAATACAATTTATATGTTATTATTAGGTTAAGTTTAATCCAGAGTTATGCAGAGTTGTGCTGTATATTTCATGATTATGTTTACATAAATATATTTACGTTCTGTTTATGTTAAGTTTACATGAATCTTTTTCATGTAAATTTAATACAAACTGGATAATACCATTCAGAAAGAAGTAATTAAGTTTTAAAATACTTAATTCATCTGACAAATAAAAATTAATACTAATAAATAAAAATATAAGAGCAAGATAAAAGCTTCAGTTCAGTCTAATGCAACAAAGAATATAGGCTTTAATGATTCTTAGATTATTTACATAGACGACACATAAAACATAGTTTATATACTCGTAGTTTTTAAGTTATAACCAGAAAATGAAAAACCGAGCCCTAGTGGATAGATAAGGTGACCATAGTATTTCTAGTTTTTTTTTAAAACCTTGTTCTGAAGAAAGAAAACAAAGAATATACTCCCAGAAGTTTTAAAGTTTATTACTTTTATCTTCCTCTATCTTATAATGATATAATTATAACATGATATGTTAATAACAAATATAACTATAAAATTAAAGTTTCTTGGGAGTGTTTTGAGCACCTCATCCATCAACTTGCATATCTTTAAATCATTTACCCAATTAAAGAGATTAAAGAGATGTTGATAAACGATCGTTAATTATATATATATATATATATATATAATTATGCTTGATTGACATGGATACATAATCTCGTTATAGGCAATGGGCAGGGCATGCTGCATCTTGGGATGTCCCTCGGGAGGAGATGCCCCATCTCATCAGATCCCCAAGAATCCAGCTCTCTTCCAGAAATGGAAAAGCCTGATTTACTCCGAGAAAATTCAACATATGACCGACGAGCAGATAAGCAAGTGTGCTGTGTGCTATCGGCATTTTGCTGACAATGACTATCTAGTAACTTACCGAGTAAGAAAGTTGAAACGTGGCGTTGCACCTTCCTTAAACTTGCCAAACAGACCAGATTCTAGTGTACCTATTATGATTAAAATAGAACCGCAAACATCGGCTGCAAATAGAGAAACGTTTACTGCAAAAGAAGAGGTGACAGAAATTCCAAGAATGATGGAAGAATTAGAAACAACTCAAATTACATTATTCAAAGATATTCCGGAAGAAATTAAATCTTGTTCGTTCGACCAGCCACAAATTTTATTAGACAAGAATATTGAGCAAACTAATTTAACGGCAGAAACATTTAAGTTAAATCATAGAGAAAGGACGTCGAGAAAGAAACGAAAATTAACTGCAAAACAACTGCATCTACTTCAATGTAAACAACAAGCCAAGCAATATGAAAAAACACCTTCGATACAAAAGCTGCTATCTTTTCTCACGCCTGCTGAAATAGCAAGTATTAAAACTAGAATACGAAAAGCAAGATATGCCCCAAGAATATATGTAAGAATATATCATAATATTGCACAAAGGAAAGCTTTTGGTTACTTAAAGCTCTTAGAAGATTAGTAATTTATTGCAAGTCCTAAAATCAAGAATGGAAAATCAGGATGTGAAATTCATCTACTTTGGAATGTCATGAGAAGCAAATCTTACCGAGTATGAATTTATCACATTTATATTAGCAAAAAAGAATTAATTTCGTCATAATAATGAGGAGAATAATATTGTAAGTGCATATATATTCTTATATTTAATATAATTATCCCTCTGTATGAGAGATAATCATACAGAGGGATAATTAACTAACATAATTCATGTATTATTTTTTAATAAGGAAAATTCTAATTATGTTAAATATATATTATCCACACACCTTTGGGTCATTAATGTCCTGTCCATTTCTTTTCTTTGTTGATTTATATAATACAATATTATATACAACAATTGTATATAACAATTTATATACAATTTATCATAAATATACCGCTTTCTAAAGATGTCAAAATACGTAAAAATATACGTAAGAATTACTTAATAATTTTTATATATTTGTAAAAGTGATGAAAATTAATCCAGGATATGAAAGACCCATCATGTGTGTGTACTAAGGGTTATATACTGCAATATATATTTTTCTTACATGCATAAGGTATTATTTAATTTTTATATTTTTTAGATCATAATAAAATATTCAATATTCTAACTATACTCTTATTGCACACACAGTAAAGCTGTAATTAACGACTTACGGCAACTACATACAGATGGAAAAGATTCAAATGGACATGTTGGGTGCAAAGTTTCAACATTATGTCGATACAACGGTAGTTTTACTGTATTTTTAAAAACGAATACATGAAATATACATTTATAATTATATGTATGTATAATTGTGGTAGAAGGATTGTATTATTCTCTGAATATAGACCTCTGAATTCTATCTTATCGCTAACGGTGTCGCAAAGAGTATCGTAGAACGTATTCTTTCTGAACACATAATCTTGACGGGGATTATTCGGTTGAGCACTTTACTCGCCGGTGACGAATACTTTTACTACGTGAGAGAATCTCTATACTGACATTAATAGAGATTCGCCGTTTAAGAAATGCGCCGATAAATATTGATCTGTGCGTAACCGATTTCGGGGAGAAAAGTGATAGTGGGAAATAGGAATAAATTCGATCGAATTAGTATAAATAAGTAATACACAGCAAAAGGTAGCCTCTTTAGGATCGGTTCATCTATGCAAAGTGTTCCCGAGCGTAACATACATCCAAAATATCTGACGAATTACGTTGAAAAATATTCTCATTTAACATTTAATCTCTATACATCTTATCGATTTATTTTGGAGGTGCTGGATGCTTATATGCACGATATGTTACGTGCAATAATTGATTATAAGGTACGGTGTTTTACTCTTTTTTTTTCCTCTACGCTCACTAATTACGAAATTGCAATATAGAACGTGCTCGATTCTACGACCGATCTTAAAGAGTTCGTATTCGTCTTTAGTGATTAAGAAATATTTTTTCTTTAATCGCATAATTATTATCTACAGTTTTGGAGTGTCTCAATTTAAAATTTTCTTCGCATCGTTGATTTTCTCTGTTGAATTTAATAGTTTAAAATTTGAGAGACACACGTGCTAATAATAGATAAAATATATTATTTTTGAGAGGTGAGAGTCGATAGAAAATTTCTAACATTTTCAAATATTCGAAAATCGTCATTTTATGATTTGCCATCAGTTAATTTAAGCTTTTGGTCAAAATTGGAAATTTTAAAATCTGAAACGTGTTCTTTTCATCATCGATTCAATACAGTAAATATTTTGTGTTAGAAACAGTCTACTCAAGTTCTTGTTAAAATTTTGTGTTGAATTTTTAACATATTTGAGTATTAATTTAATATAATCTGCAGATCACATAATTATGTTATTTAAATACTTTGTATTAAATTGATATCCAACATTTTTAATGTTAAAATAACATTTTAATAAATAATATAAAAATAATGTATTTTAAAACCTAAATTTTAAGATGAATAAATAAAATATGTAAGGATATGTTAATTTTTAACAAATAAAATATGTTAGGATTTGTTAATTTTTAAAATCCTAAATATTAATTTTACTGAAAAAAAAGTTTCTATGATTTGTCTACAAACTGAGTCAGTATTCCTTTTTTTGTGCTTATTTTTAAAAATAATATACCTTTTAATAATATTCATCTTGTGTTAAGTTAACACAAAAATTTGAGTGAACCGTTTGAGACACGTGAAATATTAAATTTAGCACAAATTTTCACCAACGGTGAATCAACATGCTGAAGTTACATAATCACCGGCTCGCGTAGCGTCTTATTTAATTAAGTAACTCAAATAATAGACAGACGAGAGTCTTTTTGGTTCACAAGTACAAAAAGATGTATCAAGAGAAGATATTAGGCTTGTTCTTTTTAGCTGAACTTTTTTGCATTAGTTATCTTTCTCGTTTTTCCCGGTAGAGAAAAAAAGAGAAAAAGTGAATAGTACAAGTTCATTTTTCCTCTTTTTCTCTCTACTGGAAAAACGAAGAAGATGACTAATGCAAAAAGTTCAGCTAAAAAGAACAGACCTAATATCTTCTCTTGATTCATCTTTTTGTACTTGTGAACTAAAAAGACTCTCGTCTGTCTATTAGCTGAAAAGAATAAACCTTTAATCAATTCTAATAGATAAGAAGTCTATCTACCGCGGCAAAAGCGAGGTTATTCTTTGAAATCCATAAATGAGAATCGTATCTCCTGTACGAAATTTATGAGAGAGGCATCCGAAGAGAAAGTGCAGAAACGAACGGAGCATCCGTAAATGTACCATAACGGCGCGTTTATTCCATGTTTAGGTCGTATTTTTTAGGCCTTGAGAAGTGCGAGGGTTGATTTTCGTTTCCCTAAAATAGCACTTTGAATTACGTGCTTCTAAATATTTATTCATCTGGACTGACTTGGCCGTTTATACAAACGATAATAAACGATAAATAAACGCGCCTTTGCACGGCAGCAGTTTATGCGTATAGTGATGCTCGTGATCGATAGAATCGATAGGTACGCGGCTGCTCCTCTCGAAACGTGTGCGTTTGGACGAGCTACGAGTGCCGATCAACATCGGAGTGTTTACTAATTTGATTGTATGTCGCTGGCGCGATGTTGACCGACTCCGGGCATTACGTATTCCCGGCAATATGGAGCAAGACGAATGGAGCAGTCGAATCGAAAAATAGAAAATAGAATAGAATTAATATTGCAATAATTTATTAAAATTTATAGAAGTAAAAATATGATCTAAAAGCTATTCTGAATAAAATATATATATATATTCTATATATTCTATATATTCTTTTATAAATTATGCGACATAAAAGTAATGATTGCTTCAAGTAGAAAAAGTAGCAACAGTTGTAAAATTCTTGTAAAATTAATAGTATATTTGATATAAAATATAAAAATATATTTAAACGTTATAAATAATAATTAATATAACATAAAATATTATAATAATAAAAAAGTACAAAAAAGAGAGATCTCTATATCGATTTTCTATTTTCTTCAAATAAATTTTCTAAATTGTATACGAATCCAATTTAAAAATTGTATACGAATCCAATTTAAATTATGCGACGTAAAAGTAATGACTTCTTTAAGTAGAAAAAGTAGCAACACTTATAAAATTCTTGTAAAATTAATAATGTATTTGATATAAATATATAAAAATATATTTAAACATTATAAATAATAATAAATAATATAGCATAAAATATTATAATGATAATAAAGTACGAAAAAAGAGAGATACTCTATATCGATTTTCTATTTTCTTCAAATAAATTTTCTGAATTGTATACGAATCCAATTTAAATTATGCGACGTAAAAGTATTGGTTGCGTTGTAAAAAATGTAGCTTTGCAACTGTAGAATTATATACTACATTTTATATAAATATACATAAATAAATATCTAATATATTTAAGTCACTATAAATAAATATATATAATATAAAATTAAAAATATAATAAATATAAAATAAATACAAAATATTATAATAATAAAAAAATATGATCGTCATTCGCGATCGATCATTCCTCCGATCGTCACGTTCCGACGTTTGAGACGCGAATAAAAGAGTTCCTCGTCCAAACGCGGTTCTATCTAACAAAACGAAATGCGTGTCATGCATACATCTACCTCGATAATTCTTGATACGTGTAAATGATTGTCTGTGATTGTCCGCGATTGTACACGTAGAATAATCACATTTCAACATCTCTTCTCCGTTTCGTATGCCTATTTCAAAGTACGCGAAAGAACGGGATTGAGGGAGGAGGTGGAAAGGAGAAAAAGGGAGGCCTCGATGTCTCCTGATAACGCCTTACATTACTTTCTCCAAGTGTTTGTGTGTCGGGGTGTGCTTAACGTTAAGGACACTTAACTTTGTATAATCTTACGTCATTAGTTAGAATAATAATCACACATGAACGAATGCTTTTTTTTCATTTTTTTTCTTCTTTTTTTAAATTTTGGAATTGCAAAAAACGGGAAACGGGGCATGTATCGTGGAACTATTCGGAATGAATTTTGATCGGAATTATATCGTTTTCTCCTTAGAAAATACTCTGGTAACACAATTTATTGGCCCAATATTGGCTCATTTAACCAACGTTTAACCAATGTATTATTAATGAATTACTATTAGGGCACAATAGAAATTTGGGGAATAATTGAAAAATTTCGATTAGAATCCATTCCCAATAATTTGATAAAATCCGTATCACACTACGCATTGGAGATTGAGAATTGCAAATTGAAGATTAAAATTCAATCAATTTAAACGAAATGTATTGAAATTAAAAATATCATTTGACTGATCGAACTCTAATCTCTTATTCGTAAAAATTTTTAAGCGATTCCTAATATTTTAGAGACTTAATATTATTGTACAATTATTTTGTACAGTATTATTGATGCCTTTAAACATAATTTAAAACAAACAGTCTGGAGGCTCAATATAGGACGGGACTATTCCGTCAGTTTCAACTTTAAAAATATGAAAATTTACGACGGTAAACGATATCTCTTTGCAGTGACATGCTTACAATTACATTATATGTACACTCATGATTGCTGCTTGAGAGCGCGAGCATAACCTTTAGATATTCAATACGTTGTTCAAAAACATAAATATTATCGTGAGAAACGGACGAAAAACTCTCTAGATGATTAGTAATCTTCATTCTACAATATAGCGTGACACGGTTTTAATACGTGCCCAGGATCGACGTGAATTCGGCGCGAGTCCGATTTTTCGATCCGCGATCCCGCGATTGCGAAGACGGGTGGAAGACGACGCGAGTGTCGCTGTCGAGAGTCGGGTGTCGTTGTCGGAGTGTCTCTGAGGATCAAATTTCCTTTCTTTAAAATGTCTCATATGCCTGCAATTCCTATGCATCAACCTATGAGATGGATGTAATACGTAAACGATGATCATCTTTGTTTATTTTGTGCGACTGTGAGGCGACGCGATGCGCAACGAGACGTATAGTGGGGCGAAAATTTTGACAATTAGTGAAAATTTTGATCGCATGAATCTTCCACGAGGCATTTGTCGAAACCTATCTGTATACTTCTGACTAGCATCCTTACCTGTCGAAATCGATGCGACGTGTCTGAGGTTTAAAAAGCGATCATCTCGATGTTCCCGTGAGTAGAACCGTTATTGCACTTATTAACTACAACTTGAAGGTAGCAACGAAATACTAAACCTATACCTGTTCTTTTTAGCTGAACTTTTGCACCAGTTCACCTTTCTTCTTTTTCTCTCCAAGAGGAAAGATGGATTGGTGCAAAAGTTCAGCCAAAAAGAACAGGCCTTATTATTCTACAATTAAGGTGCAGCCACAATAGAAGGAATAAGGAATTAGGAATAAAGAATAAAGATTTCAACTTATCATTGTTATTCTTTATTCCTTATTCCTTCTGTTGTGGCTGCACCATTATTGTATAATATTATAATAATTATTGTGTAATAATTGTATAATAATTATTATATAATAATTATTATTGTATAATATTATTAATTCTTCCTTTAAATAATTCAAAACAATTCAAACCAAACTGTAGAGTCTACATGATCAATAATATCTGGCAAAAATAAAAATCGAAGCGTGAGTCGAATTTAAAAGGAAAGACAAAAATAAAGTTTTTAAGGTCCGGTTCCAAAGATTACTTCAACCTCGGTTTAATTTATTCTTCAACTTTTATTAATTCTAAGAATTAGAAAAAGATAAATAAAGTTAAACAGAGATTTGAGTATTAATCTTACACTGACGGAATCGAATCTAAGAGGCGAAAACTGAGACAACGAAATATAAAAGATGTGTTTACTCTTCTTTTTTCATTTTGTTGTCTCAATTTTTTCTTTCTAAAAGCTTTATTTTTATTATTTTCCCTTTACATTCACAATTTACTCTCCAATTTTTATTTTCGCCAGGGAATATTATGTAATAATATTGATCGTCTAGGGGCCGCTTTTCTGAATATTTGCACTGGCTTACAGTTAC